TTTATACAGCTTACTTTTTGTCTTACAAACTTCTTCATACCGAAAGAAGAAAGTAGGAAGAAAAGCAAAAAAGGAAGAAAAATGACACACAGAGGCCAGTTTGACCCCCAGAATCGCCCTGAACCCCAAGTTTAACCCCCAGAATCTCCCTGAACCCCATCACACCTTATACAGATCCATCTCTGAAAGAGAATGACTCTCTTCTTCAAAATGTCTTCCAAAAGAGAATAATGTGAATGTGCTCTTGTTTAGAGCTTTTAAGTTTTACTTCAAAGCATTGTCACATCAAATAAAGACAAGAGAAGTAAAAAGAGAATCTTCTGCCCTTCAGCTGCAATAGGAATATTCATGAAATCTTCCCCCAACTCAAACAGGCGAACTGGGCTCAGCCCTCATGGGACGAGGATTAACTGGTGTATCAATGAGCAGTGATCCTGTATATCACTTTTCCTCATGCGAATAGACTTTAAATAAAAATTACAATAGTAATGTATACTCAGTTTAACAAGCCAAACATTGTAGGGAGTGCTTACAGGAAAATGGTAACAGTCCCTCTTCCCTTGTCTCACTCTCCCTGAGATAACCAGGGTCGACAGTGCTTTGGATAATCATTCTCAGACAGGCATATGCAGACGTATGTGGGCTTAGTTTCACTTACTACCACTTATATCAAGAACATAAAACACACACACAGGTAAGCTGTATTCAAATGCACTGAGATAAACAATATTCTCTAGTATAGCTGCACCAAATTTTGAGCAACCCAGTTCATTTGGAGGGAAATAATTTAATAAATCCATCTCCTATTGATATAAATTGAAAAAATTTTAAAACCTGTTATAGGATGTTTTAGAGATAAGTTCCCACTAATTCTATCTGGAAAATAGATCCCACATCCATTTTCTCTGTCTCCTCCGTCTTCACTGCAGTCCAAGGTATCATCTCTCACCTGGGCTACTGCAACAGCCTCCACTGGTTCCTACTCTCCACTCTCGCCCCCTGCGATCCATGCATACAAAGGCCTGATGTTCAAAACCCTCACCCCAGCTTCCCACGACACCTCCCTCTGTTGATGTCCTCATAAATCGTTTTAACATTTGATATTCCCCTGGTAGGAATTTATTTCAGTCTCTGTTGTCTCTCCCACTGGCATGTGAGCACCATAAGGAGAGAAACTGTCTCATTCCTGCTACATTCCTGGAACCCAGAACAGTGCTTGGCACACAGAGGGTGCCCAGTAATTATATTTCAAATAAATGAACCAGTCAATCAATTTCAAACAGCCCATGTTCCAGGTACTTTCTTTTTTTTTTTTTTGGTCACCCTCAGTAGAGTGCTGTGGCATCACAGCTCACAGCAACCTCCAACTCCTGGGCTTAGGTGATTCTCTTGCCTCAGTCTCCTGAGTAGCTGGGACTACAGATACCCGTCACAACACCTGGCTATTTTTTGTTTGCAGTTTGGCTGGGGCTGGGTTTGCACCTGCCACCCTGGGTATATGGGGCCGGTGCCCTACTTCACTGAGCCACAGGAGCCGCCTATTCTAGGTACTTTCTAATAGAGGGCTTCTATTCTCTGTGTTAGGTGAAAAATCAAAGAAGAGCAATAGTGTAAATTTAAAATTTGACTTCAGAATTAGGTAGTCTGAATTCAAAGCCTAGCTGTATCTTTTTCTAAAAAATAATTTAATTCTTTAGTCTTCACTACTGTATTTTGAAAATGTGGAAAAATAACAGCTCACAAGCCCACAAAGATCAAATGAGATAATGGATATAAAAGCATTTTAAAAACTTGAAAGTGAAAATGCCATGAAGGCTATGTTAACCAGTTTGATGAAAATATTTCATATTGTATATAAAACCAGCTCATTGTACCCCATGACTGCATTAATGTACATAGCTATGATTTAATAAAAAAAAAAAACCTTGAAAGTGTTAAGTAAATGTTATTTCAGTAAATTGGTACATAATAAATAAGTAAAGAAAATATCAAGAGTTGATTTAAATTTGACAACGTAATAATTTCTATGACAATCGCATGTAAAATCCACAGGACCTTTACCTTTTTGTAACTGGATATTCTCTGCCGTATGTGATCTATTCTTTCACTGCACATGGCACTGAATTTGCTCTGAAGATCAGCAGGAATCACGTCATTTAGAGAATTAAGGCTGGTGCAGTTTTGTACAAAGTGGTCATCACTTTTAGCCAGTGCTTCCAGGATCTGTAGGGATAAACGTACATGTTACCCCCACACACAACATGAAGATGTCATTAGTTAATATGGAGCAACCGTTCTCTATTCTTCTCTGGTCGCTGCTGGGGATGTCCAAGTTCAGTGAGGCACTGTCGGTGGGAAGATTCAACTTACTTGTTTGGAATCTCAGGTTTTACCTTCTGTTGACTATAAATGCCAGAGTAAGGAGGTAAGTGGACTTCAAAGACTCCCTGCTGGGTAAATCAGTACATTCTGATAAGCCAACACAGCTCCTTCCTATGTTTTAGTTGGCAGTCTCTGAGGACATCTTTTTTTTCCTTAGTTCATAATAGAACAAGAAAACTCAGGAAAACCAGTAGCATCCTTATTTATTACTGAGAACCCAGCGAGGGCAGGGAGACTGCATTTAACAAATGCTTGCTGAAGGAATGGATACATGGAAAGTTATCTTGGAAAAGTACAACTGAGTGTTAGTTACATGCCGTGTCTGAGCTCCAGTTGATAAAAGCATCAGGTGAAAGTATCTATATGATGTTTTCCATCAGTGAATTTTTCTGACCGTTTGAATCGGTTGTAAGGCAGCGTGTGTGTGCACGCCTGCGTCCCTGTGTGTGTGTGTGTGTGTGTACCATACATAGATCACTGAGAATTTCCAACGACTTGAGAATTAATTATATGGTATATTTATAGGCATATTTGTGACCTATGATTATTCAAAAATCACAAGAATCAATTATATCCTTAACCTATATTTTTTAACATTCTGTGAAACACAAAATACGTTCCCTTACCACCTCCATTGCCCTGTTACAGTGAATATGGACTGTGAGATTTTGTTTAATTACTAGTCTAGAAATTAGAGCTGACTAAATCACTAGCAGTATGACCTCAGCTAAATTTCTTAATTTCTTTGGCTCTCTCCTCTTCATGCATAAAATGGAAATAATACTTGCAGTACTAGTTTACACAGCTGGCAAGTACAGAATAATCTGTGTAATGTACAAACTTAAAATAGCTGGAAAATGAGATAAAATAACTATAACAACCTGGGGCCAAACTCTTATATGGATTAACTACATAGATTAGTACAAGGTGGTTAGGAAGGGATTTCAATTTTAAAATGTGTATTTTACATCAATGGATACATAGAGTGATGCAATATCATCGGAAGGACAGGATTTCTGTAAAAGTTGACTTACAGAATACAAAACAAAAAGTAGTTCCTTTTAAAATAGTTCATTTAGATCTCTCTATTATTTTCTCCCACCAAAACGTTTTAAACGTATGCTATAAATGCTAAGTCTATCTCAACGAGACATAAATGAAAAGGATTAAAATGAGTAAGTGAAGGTAGGGAAACTCTAGGCCATTTTTCTTACTTGCAATGTCTGACTCCTTCTAGGACAATACAAGAGTGTGGCCAGGCTGCGGTGCACACGGGAGGAGTGTGGCCGACTAGCCTTGCAGGAGGGCACAAGGGCAAGCAGAGTCGCCTCTCTACCGGGAGTTTTACCCATGTGGATGGAGACCCCCTTCCTGTCTCCCCATCTTGCTTCAGTCTACGAGCCTTACGGCGACAACCTTCCCAAACGAGAATCTTATAAATGTCCGAGGATCTATTCACCAACTGCTCTCTAGGCTTCCTGAAATTGTGCGAACTAAACATGACACTTGGAGAGTTTAAAATTTCTTATCCTCATTTCACAACCTGAAATACTCTGCAGAGGATTATGCGCAGTAAAGGAAAAAAGCAGCGTCTATAACAAAAATCCTCTGAATCATATTTAAGATCACAGACGAAGCAAACTTAATAAACGCAGGAAAGCCTTTATCATTATCAACAGGCATTTGCCTGAGGAAGAGACCCATGTAACTTAACCCTGCACTCCACACGGATCCATGAAAGGAAGGCTGAGCACTAACGCAGTGATGGTGCGGTGGGGGTGGGGGGGGAGTAGTAAAAATAAAAGGAAGGTGAACGAGCTGACGGACGCAACTCGGACAGCTATTTATATTTGTATAAGTGAGATCCTTGTTTTCCCAGGATCACCCCTACCTTGGCAGTTAAGCTGAAGAAACCTTTGGGCTCGATCATCTTCTCCACCACATTGCACTTTATGCCGGCTGTGCTGTCGTACTCGTACACAACACCGTACTCCAGGTGGACGTTGTCCACCGTCAGACTCACGTGCTCCTTCCTCCCGTCAATGATCGCCATGGTGTTGAACTTGTCGATGACCTCTGGAATAAAGACCATTGTAATTCATCAGATTCAGGAAGGGTTTGTTCATCTCTTCAAATAATTTTGCATTTCCTTGAATTTTGTTTTTAAAGATTACTTCAAAGGATGGGTAAGTCTGATGTGTTAAGTGAAGCACCTATTTTTAACATGTTTAAAAATAAGAACACTTTGGAAAAAGCATATGTTTGAGGGATCCAAATCTCACGGCTCTATCATGACTAGTCTTATCTTTGTACATCCACATTCATCTGTGGATCATATATCTACCGATTTATACCAATATAAACACTGTATGTACAATTTTGCATTTTTTCATTAAAGACATGCATGACCTAAAATGGGAGTTTCTAAATCTGCCTCAAATAGTGTAGAGAATATTTTCTCAAAGCAGGAAAGTATCTATGAGAAGGCCATAATGAAGAAGCAGAAAGGAGATGCAAGAATAATTTTATTGGTGGGGAAAGGGAACGCCTCACGTTTCCCAGTCAGCATCTTACAGAGCAAGCTCATTGAGAAAATTTTTCATTGTTCACTATAATAAAATTTCTATCTGGAATGTGAGCATGTGGATTTTTAGCCTATAATCAGTTAACTGGTGAAAAAAAAACCATCTAAAATCTCAATTAAAGAGCTCCTAGGAGACCTAACAGCAAAGATTAAATGAGTAAAACTAAACTATCAGCTTCTTTAAAACAAAATCCTAAAATAGCATGAATAGTAAACATTAAATAAGCAAAAGCAGAATACTGATTTTCCTTAAAGCAATTAAACCCCAGAATAGCTACAAATCAATTTCCAGAGCAGCAGATTGATCATCTCCCTCTCAATGCAGAGCTGATGCTGATTTATCCCAAAGGAGGAACAAAAACCTCAAGAAAGCATCCTGAGATTCAAATAAATACCGTGTGTCTTATCATAACAACTTTACTGCTCCAATGGGGCTGAGATATTACTGATGCTGCCCCTGACTTAGATGGAGTCAACCAAGCAGTCTTTCAGGAGTGGAGGAAACGGCTCTTCCTCCCTAGCCCCTCAAGAGTAGTGTGTACAGGTATCAGACAATGAGAAACATATGCTTGGTGTCTGGCCCCTGCTCCTGGCAGAAAGCTCCTACAATCCTTGTAATTTACTGAGTGATAGTAATAGCGGCGGCGTGTTTTGTAATTTGCAGTGAGCCCCTTTTGAACATGCCTGAGTTGATGCTAATGAAGTGAGCACAGAGGAACCAACCATGTGATCAGGGGTTGGGACTTGCAGCCCTACCAAGGGGCTTAAGTGATTAAGTTCAATCATCAAGGGCCAATGATTTAATCAATCATGTTTATAAAAAGGAATTTCCATAAAAAGCCAGAAGCAGGGTTCCAAGGACACAGCTCAGAGAGCCGTGTATGGGTCGGGGGCGGGGGGGTGGGGGGGTTGGGGGCGTGACACAAGGACAGAGCTCCTGTGGAGAGACTCTTCTGGACCTCACGCTGTGCACCTCTGATGCTGGCTCTTAATTTTATATCCTTTGTAATAAACCAGCAACAGTAAAGTGTCTGAATTCTTTAGCCATTCTAGCGAAGAACTGAACTCAAGGAAGGGGTGTAGGGACCTCCCTAAATTTACAGCAAATTGCTCAAAAATAGAAGCGAAATCCTGAGACTTGTCACAGACATTTGAAATGGGGGCAGCAACCTGTGGGACTGAGTTGAACTGTAGAACGCCCAGTTGGTGTCAGGAGTGTTGGTGACTTGGTTGGTGTGAGGCAACCCCCCCCAACCCACACACACACACATGCATCAGAAGAAGTGTTGTGAGTGAAAACAGCTGAGAATAGGGAGTTCTTTAGTGGTGCTGGTTTGGAAGAACCTACAGTAAGAATCTCCAGAAACATCCACCAGTAATATAAGTGGAAATACACCAGGAGAATGTCAAATCCAGAACTAAATGTAAGTGTCTCACTCACCCTTGACAAGAAAGCTGCTGAATACAGCGGTTTGCTGGTTTTCCCCACCATGAAACCAGAAATGACAAGGAATCTTATCAAAAGATGTCTCTCTCCTCTGTTCCTCCTTTCTCTCCTCTCTCTCTCATTTTTACATCATCAGTTTTCCTCTTTCTTTATTGTCAACATTTAGAATACAATACACATTACTTGAACAAAGAATGGATTTTTAAAAGAAACTTCTGGACCAGGGCTTCTCAGATTAATACTGCACAAACACCTCTCCATTTTAAAATGGGGGTTCTGATTCAGTAAAGCTTGGGGGCCTGAGGTTCTGCATTTCTGCCTAGCTCCAAGCGGCATCGACAGTGTTGGTCTGTGAGCCGTGCTGGGGTAGAGGGCGCGAACAACACCTCCACTCCCAACAAGGAAACCCGTTATAACTTAAGTTTGAATCTTCGCTCGACCCCTTACTGTCTTGGGCAAGTCCCTTAACCTGTACAGGCCTCAGTTTCTTCTCTCCTAAAAAGGGAATGATGGTGATCACATCTACTTTATGAGATTTTCTTTTTCGATGACTAAATTAGATATCCACATAAAACAATACTGTCCCTTACAAATGGGCATGGTTATGACATGCTAGCCACTAGCTATTATTCCTCGTGTGAGTGTCTGACATGACATCTATTTGGCAACAGGGACTTAAGAAAGTGATCGAACTTGTTAAGACTTTGCGGTAGGCAAAGGCACTGTGGAAAAGAATACTATAAGCACATGGGGAGAGAAAGAAGGAACAGAAGGAACCTACCTTCTACCTTGCAGTCAAAAGCATCCCCTGCTTCATCTCCAGAGGGCTTAGAGTTAGATTTTTGAAGGTCCTCTTGTGCACTCTCAATGCTATTATAAACCCATTGTATGGAGTCTTGCTGGAAATGAGGGGAAAAGAAATCTCAGATGTATTAGCACTTCCTAAAGGCATGGCCATTTCACAGTTCACTTCAGGGGACTTGACCATCTTTTAATTCCTCTAGCATGTATAAAAACAATGAAATTTGAATGAGAAAATCAACATCAGAAACTAATCATTTAACACACTTGACTTTTTTTAAGCTTAAAGTTTTATCTTCCGAAAATTATGTTTTATGGAAATTACACCTTCTAAACCTATGTTCCAAAGACAAACATGTTTAAATAGGATATATTTTCCAAATGGCTCAGTAAATGCTTCAATTACATGTTAAACGTTAGACGGACAGTCTTCTAATGAATAAATTATCTATAACTGTACAAACCACCTAAATATTCTCCTAACAGTCACACTTACTTTAATACATTACCACTGTTTTGAATCAAACGAAGTTGGAAATGGAAGAACACTTTTTGGCCCCTTGGGTTCCCACGTCACGTAACTACCTGTCGGTCCTTCTTTGTCAGAAGTCATACTGAATTTCACTTAAAACTGCAATTCCAGTCTTACAGAGGGAAATAAGAGAGATAAACTGCCCACCAAATAAACACTTCATTGGTGGTATTACTTTAGGGTTCATACTTTTCTAGATGAGATGATAAATCAGATTGAGCTGAATTATTGACGTGCAACATAACATGTATCATCCGTTCTTTTTTCTTGTCCTAGTTTCACAGTTGTGTTTAATTATGACATTGTTTTAAATCATGAAAATGCTAGTTAATATTGAGCCATTTATTTTTATATATATATTTATATGTGTGTGTGTATATATATATATATTAAAAACTCTGTCACCCTGGGTAGAGTGCTGTGGCATCATCATAGCTCACAACAACATCAAATTCTTGGGCTCACTCAGTCTCCTACCTCACCCTCCCCAGTAGCTGGGCCTACAGGTACCTGCCACAATCCAGCTAATTTTTCTATTTTTGTTAAGGACAGGGTTTCACTTTTGCTCAGACTGGTCTTCAACTCCCAAGCTCAGGTGATCCACTGGCCTCAGCCTCCCAGAGTACTAGGATCACCGGAGTAAGCCACTGTGCCCAGCCTAAGATTTGATCATTTAAATACATCTTTGTGCCTGTTATGGCCCCTAGTGAACCACACCCTCTGGTATCCCACACTGACCCCGGGCTTAGCCATGTGACTTGATGTGCAGACACAATCTTAGTAGAGGGTTTATGGCTTCTAACAATCCCTCTTGAAGTCCAGACACCAGGCAGAAAGGAAAATCGTGCTAGCAGCTGGGAAGGAAGGCCTTGTGGAGGCCCTCTAGAGCCTCAACCGGTGATTTTCAACCGGTATGTCCTGAGAGGATCTTAGGTGTGCAGTGAAAAATTTAATGACCAATTAAATTATTTTTGAAAGAAGTCTAAAGCACAGTAAGTATGCCCTCTTTTTAACTCTTTTTTAAATCAACATAATTTAAGTGCACTGTGAAATTATAACTATAGGTTCAAGC